GACGACCTTGATGCTCCGATCGGCCAGAAAGCTGGAGATCCAATTGCGTAATTTCTCGGGAAGCCCATAGGCTGGAAGCTTCGAGAGCAGTGCTCTGTGCCACACCCGATCGAAGGCTTTCGCTATGTCCAAACTAACCGCTAGCGCCTCCCCTTGGACTCAATTGCCTCTGCCCATCTATGTGTAAGGTATACAAGGAGGTCACCAGCCGAGCGACCACGACGGAAGCCGTACTGAGAATCGCTAATCAGCTGGTGGCCCTCTAGATACCTCAAGAGCTGGCTGTTAATAATGGTTTCCATTATTTTGGAGAACAAGGAGGTTATAGCTATTGGGCGATAGTTGGACGGATCAGAGCGATCGCCTTTTTAGGGATCGGATGTATCAAAGCGGTCTTCCAGCACTTCGGGACAGTGCCGAGCGAGTACAGGTACCGGAAAAGGCGCGTTAAGACCGGAGCCAACTCAGGAGCACAAGTACGCAGCACAATTGGGGGGGATACCATCCGGCCCGCTCGACTTATGAATGTCCAAGGAAGATAGTGCTTTGCGGACAGCACGTTGCCGGAATGTGATTTCCGGCATCGAAGAATCACACCGCGAAATGGTCGGTGGTGATCTCCCTCGGTCATCCAAAGTCGAGTTAGACGCGAAGAGACAGCCCAAAAGGTCAGCCTTCTCCTTCGCAGTGTGGGCCAGAGAGTCATCCTCCCTGTGCAGTGGCGGAATGGCGGGCTGACAAAAATTCCCTTGGACAGCTTTGGCGAGAGACCAGAAGGCTCGAGTCCCTGATGGGAGTAGGGCCAATCTCTCGCCAAATCTGGCAATGTGCTCTGACTTTGCCTTAGTGATTTCCCGTTTGAAGGACCTGGAGGCTGAGTTATATGCTTTTTTAAGTTCGCTGGTATTGGCATCACGAGATTTCGCCGCTTCCGCCCATGCCTTAAAGCATTCTCGCTTTCGACGCGAGGCCGCCTTGCAAGAACGTTTAAACCAGGGCTGAGACTTGCCACCGATCGGCACCGCAGAAAATGGAATAAAGAGTTCCATGCCCTGCAGAACCACTTCGGCGACAGAGGCGGCGACGGAATCTGGAGCTTCCGGCGAAAAGCACATAGGCCCCCAAGGGTAGGACGCAAAGAAAGACCGCATCCCGTCCCAATCTGCTGACTTATAGTGCCAAATACGGCGACAACCCATAAAGCGGGGCCGTGAAGGGCGCGTAGATGGCACAGTACTCCGGACCACACAATGATCTGATGAACCCAATGGCGGGTCAACAGAGACCTGATAGTTCTCCGGATGAGAAGTCAGCAGAAGGTCCAACAAAGAGGGTTTATGACCATCCACATCTGGTATTCGCGTAATCGCAGGGACCATTTGTGTCAGGTCGTAGGCTAAAGCAAAGTCGTGAAAGGATCTTCCCGCGTGATCGGTGGTTTCAGAGCCGAGCCAATCGGCATGGTGGGCGTTAAAATCGCCAAGTATCACGATTTCAGCGGTAGGAACCCTTTCGAGCAGGGAATCTGTAGCCATTTGGATGTGCTCAATGAGTCGGTCAGTTTCGGTATTTCCGCTATGGGACCTATACAGGCATGCGTAGAATCGCGGATGGTCATCGCAGTCTACGCGCAGCCAGAGGTTAGATAGGTCCCTTCCTTCAAGCGTCCCGAGGCGACGAGAACAGATATCCTCTCTGACGTACACGCAAACTCCAGCCCGCGGCACAAATGAATGTTCCAATTTGTACCCCGGGTAGGATAGGTGGGAAGTATCAGCCGGGGAGGATATCTGAGTCTCGGTAAGAAAGAGCAAGGCCGGCTTCGCAGTCTCTAGATGATAGTGGACAGCGTTGATGTTAGAATTAAGCCCCCTAACATTTGTGAAGTCCACGGCGAGTGTGGACGGGGGTGCCTTTGTATAATTGCTCCGTTTGCCCCGAGGACGATTACTATTTTTGTAGAGCGCAGAATTGCCCCCCCAGAATACGAAGGGCAGCCTGTGCGTCCACCACCGGGTGCTGAGTGTCCCGGTGGTGGACGCCCAGAGGGGATTCTCCACCGCGAGCGCGTGTGGTACCCCCCTGGGGTAGATTCTGTTTTTTCTGCACCTTCATATTTCTTGTGTGGGGGGGATGGGCTCGGGAATCTCTCTCACCGCACGAAACGCGAGTACAAGAAGGCGAACCTTTTGCATCACTTCACGCCGGTTTTCTGAGAGACAGTGGTACTGCCCCGGTCGTGCCTGCCCATTTGGCTGAAGCCCGAAGGCAACAGCATGGCACTCCCACTAGGAAGGGGTTGACTGATTGCGCTGATGAAATAACCTCTGTCACAGGTTATTTCACCAGTGGGCGATGGGGTCGTCACGTCCCGACGCCTAACAAGTTTTCCAATAAATAATTTATTGTGAAACGAACTATAGATTATTTTATTATTAAAGTCTGTATTGTGGTCTCTTGTTGGGGCTCCAGGGATATATCCTTGTTTGTCCCCTAAATCCCGGGCATAATAGTGTAAAGTACCTACAGTACTATTTATGTAGCATAAAAAGATGTTTATTTGTTTTAAGTATGGGCAAATACTAACATAGGTTAAAAGTAATATTTAGTTTCAAAGTGAATGGTTCTATTATCTTAATATATATAAATTACGTGTCACGTTGTTTGTCCGATATTTTAATTTTAAGAGAATTAGCTCGTAGGATATGACTGAGCCGTTATAAGTACGTCTTCAAGCGTCTTAAGTGTTGTTTATGAGAGCATCCGAACACTTGGCCCCCAGTCACCGGAAATCAAATGATATCGTAATGATTCAATTTGAGCGGCAATTTTGCTCCCATTTCCAGTTTGCTCTGTTGCAGTTTTCTTTTACGAAAATCGAGGACCAAACAGCGTGCGTTTTTGGTTACAATTCGTTTTCAAAGTGAGAAATTAACGCTTGTAAATAATGTGAACTAATCATAGTATGTCTTAATGTAAGATGAAATCGGGCGCTAACTATGACTACTGTCAAATATAATTCGTTTTTTCAGTTATAGTTATCTATGAACATATTTATTAAGTCTTATTACAAATTACATAAATAAGTTATAGGCACGTCTCTCCTCTCTCGGACAAGCAAAAAAGCTGGGGCCTGAGATCAGGCGGAAAAAAATAAACTGCTCAAATATTAGAGTCATTCTTCCAACTTCGATTTTGTTCCCTTTGGAGTAGAGACTCTTGGGCCGTGGGGTTCAAGTGCACAAGCGCTAATTAAAGATTTAGGTTTGCGCCTAGTAGATAGTACCGGTGACCCAAGAGCTGGTGCTTTCCTCGCTCAACGAATAAGTATCGTAATACAGCGTTGAAAGTACACTGCCATAGGGACCAAACTTTATAAATTTGTTTTAATTTTCTTTTTATTATTACTATGTAGGAAAGTTGTAAATACTGTATTATTGATTGTTATGTTATGTTAAACGATAAACTTATCTATTAAGAATAACATTTTCCATAGATAAAAATAGTTTTTCACTTTCAATTTAGAGAAAATTCACAAAAACGTAAATCGCTAAGAGAATTGTGCCTTTGTATGAAAATATTATGAAATATCACTTTCACAATGGCTACATATGACCCTTGACATTAAGTGCGCAACAGATTTCCTTCTGAGCCTCCGCACAAACGTTACTTTAACTATCGATTGAAAACTGTTCTTAGCTATTTGTGAACGTCTCACTTGAATACCGAAATTACATGTAATTCCTTATAAAAAATAACTAATAACTCTCAATAAAACCCTTAGGGTCCCATAGTTAAAGATTGAATTTATTTCATTAGTTTTATAAAACACTTCAATTAAAAAAAAATTTAAACTCGCTTAAAATTCCTCGTATGCGGTCGACCATTTAAAGTGATAATAATACATCGCTTAATTGATAACAAATATTTTGCCGTGCAATAAATTGCTTTCAATTACTGCTATGAAAAATTACGTTTCAAACAAAAGGAACTCACCGTCTTTATTGAAATCTGCGTCCATTGCGGGCGCGGAAAATTTCAGCCCTTGCGTCGTTGCGTTCATATACTCCACATCAGCTGAGGTCACGACTCTGAACCCCAACCCATGGCTTGATATCGTCTGATTCCACTGCCACAAACACATATCTAACGACCCGTTAGTCTTTTCGAAATTACAGAACACTCCTGTAACCTGTGGCACGTAGCTGCTCTTATAAGTCGCCTCATACGTAGGTCCAGACGGTCGTAAAGTCTTTATCTTCGTCAAAGAATTCGTCTCGTTCTCTATATTTAGTTTTTGGTTCGATATAGAACCTTCATTGTCATTCATCATATTTTCTTGGTCATTTCTGTGACCGAGAAGCAATAGTTTGTTCAAGTGCTGCTTACCGCGTCTGCGATTTTTGAACTCCTCCGTTCTGTTCATAAGATTCGAGAGCTTTTGGAAGGAACCCCGCACTGGTTCGGGCAAGGCGGACCTCGACTGGCCTTTTTTCGCCTCCACGGCTTTTTTATCCTTCTCGAAGTCATCTACAGCATTCGCAGCCGCATAGATCGCGACGAATATCAATAATCTTGCAATATCCATTAGGGAGAGTTATTGGGACGTAGGGTTCTTTTTAGGTGGTCACAAATTGCATTCTCAGCAAATGATTGTCTTTCAGGTTTAAGTGTCTCCGTTCCTCGCGTAAATGGATAGCCGCCAGTCCAAACAACGTCGATATAATAATATAAACGCGCACATTTTAACAAAACAAAGTACCTACTATACTAACGAAATTAGCACAATCCTCACGGACATGTCCATGGATATCTCTTAAATGGACGACATCGCGATACAGGACGCGACGACCCCTCAAGTCTAGATAACAAAACAATGAACACAAAACACAGTGCGTTGGAAATAATGTTAATTTCAATAATTTCACAATTGCGTTTTAACTGATTTGTAAAATATATAAATCCGTAGTCGTAACAGCGCCACGGGAATACGCGGAACTATGGCCGTGGACCGAAATAATCATTACTTTAGATGCGATCTTCGGGTGCGAGGGATGCTGCGCAGGTGTCAACCCGTGCTGAGCGAATTCCCGGGCTTTCCGCGCAGATCAACGGTGCGTCGTGCGCCCAGGACGGAATTGGCTGGCACACTGCTGCTGCTAACATCAGACACATCCTATAGGACACTCTTCAGTTCCGTAATCTGGCGATTGGTGGAATAAATATTGCCGTAGACTCTCCAATGAGAATTGAAAGCGGAAATTTCATTGGAATCCTTGGCATTTTCTTTGCAGATTTATTTGCGACAGGGTCGGGCATCAGTAGCTATCTTAAGCGGAAATTCTATGAAAGAGGTTTCTGATCCTAATATAATTTTTCCATTTCAACTGAAGTTTCGAAGCTTATTACATTATACTATGAACTGCTTTAAAATGTTTAAAACGTTTTATTTTTATTTATTCTATATTTGTCGCATATTCATATGATTAAATGTATTTCGTATGTATATATCGATATTCTTAATTGTATTAATTACAATAGCGCGTATGATTATACTTATAATGACTAATGAACCCTAACATAACGTTAGTCAGTAACCTCCAGACGATAAAAGAAAATAACGAGTATATTATTTTTAATTGAAAATGGCATTTGATGGATAGTTTTTCTTCAATTAAGATTAAACGTTCAGAAACAATTTTTTTATAATATGTTGTTATATCTATTATATCAAATTAAAATTGTTGAGAACAAAGAACTTTTACATTTAGTCGTAAAAGTATTTTTACTGTTAACATTGTATAAATAAATTGTAACATAATTGCTATTAAACATAATTATATATTTATTATTAAATGTCAGCTGTCAGTCTTGACAGTGTCAAAATGGAAATTACTGAACGTACAGCACCACTCCTTGTGGATTATTTTGGTTTGGACTTCGCATATTGATAGCTGTATCGTCAATACAAATAAATAATTAACGGAAATGGTAACAAATGAACATTAAATAATAACAATGTATAACATTTGTACTGTGAACTGTTTAGTGTATTAACATTTCTACTCAGAATCAGATTCATTACACAGAGTGAGAGGTGAGTAAATCGTTTGTTTATGACTAATATAAATCTAAACACACAGAAAATAAATTAGTAAATATTAAATCCAGAAAAGTATAATAGATATGAAATATCCAATGGACAAGATAATATTTTTATTATTAACATGAAAAGGCTAGAGTTCTCGGATCACACGTAATATTTCATAAATTTTAGTATTTATCGTATTTCTGTGATATAAAATCTTGCGGTTATGCATAAATACCTATTAATTAGGGTTAAACTATCATAGCTCGTCACCTGCTATACTTCTGCATGTAAATTAAAGAAAAAAAGCATTGTCTTCTTCCAAGACCATGTTTGTGGATACCTTTACATAAAAATAGGGTCAGCAGTTGATAGGATTAGTGTATTTGTGTGTACATACATATTTATTGCAAATGATTTATGAAACAAAATATTTTTATTTAAGTGTTTAAATTGTATCTATAATGTAAAATTTTTTTAACACTACCATGACAAAGCTATATAATAGTTACATCTGTATTTATAGATACATTGTGAAATACTAATGACCCATGTTAAATATAAATGACTTCATCTATAATGTATTTATTTTAATATAAAAGATAAGATTATCTGATTATGATAAAATTGGATTTCCTTTTGTTGTATTATATTGCAAAATTAAGATATTATAATTACTAAGCTAAGTTTCAAGCTCTTTATTTTTTTTTTGAATAAGTGAAGTTCATCTTGTATTGTACTATGTATTTACTAGTGTCCAAGATTGGGTCCTTTAGACTTATAATCTAGTTTTAAATTGGGTTCTAGATTGTTAAAAATATGAAGATTTCTCAGCAGAGCAAGATTTCACATATATATGTTTTTATAATTCATCTTTCATATATTTTAATCAAGCAGATTCAATTAATAAATGTTGTCCATATTTCAAAACAGAAAAATCATGACTAAATAATAATATATAATACTTCTCTTTATAGATTAGTATAGTAGTTACAATAATATAATTTAAGTTTCTGTAAGAATATTGAAAGTATTTAAAAGATAATATCTAAGATAAGCTTTGCATATAAGCAGGAAGTGATGTTTTATTTACATGATAAAACATCGCTTATGATATGGGAAAGAATTTGATTTTAAACTGAGCGAACACAACAATACATTGTATACCCAGTTGTTAGAATTTAACACAAGGTCATAGTGTGGCAAAATTTTACCAAAAATACTTAAGTGAATGTAAAATGTACACAGATCCAAGGTTAATATAGAAAAAGTTTATGTTGGTCTTACAGCTAACAGGTGTTAAAATTGCAGTTATAATTACACACTTTTAGATTATTTGAATGGCCCGATTTTTATGAATAGATTGTGTCTAGTTCATTTTTAAATTAAAATGTGATGGCAACAAATTATAGAGAACATGTTCTTATTAATCAATTTGATTGTGATTATCAGGTTGAATAGAATTTATTTGACTGTTCGGAAATTGTGTACTAGTATTGTTTTATTGTTTCTTCTCTGTAGCATTGTATTCTTGAATTAGCTCTGGGTTGTTTAATCATATATGTTATGTAAATATAAAATAATAAGTAGGACAATTTATAGAACTTACGTATAACTACCTAGTAATCTAGCAATACATATACAATTAAAGTTTAATTTCCCATAATTTTTTTTAAATTTTTCATATATTTACTATAAACATATGTTGTTTACTTAGAATTGATATGCAATAATTTATCAGTTATTGCTTATTACTGATATCCTATCAATATTGTGAATTCCATTTAGTGAGCACTGTCATTCTCATTCTAATTTATAAAAGTACCTGCGTATCATGACTTTGTGTGTAAGTTTGATAAAAATACTTGTTTTTTTAATGTTGTATGATATACAAAGCACATTTCCGATGTCAGTTTACGTTATATTGACAGTTGATATAAAATATTTAGTACGTGCAAAACATCGGAGTCGCGAGCAAGGTTGCGGAAAAATGTTCGATTACAGTATTTTTATAAAATCAAACGTGCAGAAAACGTAAATTTAAAATCAATAGAAATCTCATAAAGCGACAAACTTGCACATAATATTAGATATAAATAAACAGTAACTCCAGTTTCTGGTGCTAATTAAAAATGAAATGTCAACTTTCGCGCCATTTATAGGTTCTGTTAGCTATTTTAGATCACGTCAAGGGTTTCTGCACAGTGTCTATAATCCGGGTCACCTACATTTGACGCATCAATGCCTGTATAATATTGCTCTTTTGAAATTCTTTAAGGGCACTTGTTTTTACTCTATAAAAAATATAAGTCTACTTTAAATATGTTTAAAATGAATTTATTGGAGGAATAAAATTAAAATATTGACTTTCACTTCACAGTTTGACCCGTACAATTAAGACAACAATTCATGATAATACGTGATTTATTTTTTAAAATTTATCAATATTTTGACGACTTTTATAAATTTCTGATAAATTTTCAGAAAATGACATAAATAATGTCCGGAGGTAATTCAAAGAATAAGTCGCGGTCCAAGCGACACGAGGGATGGGAGGAGGCTGGTGGGGAGTTCTACCAGGAGTTGTACCCTGGCGGAGAGCAGGAACTCTTCGACAACCTCCAGAGAGCCGATGCTGCGAAATTGGCAACGTTGCTGCCTTCCAAGCAGGCTAGAAATAGTAAGTAATAGTAATAATAACCAGAACCCATGGTTTGTCAAGTCTTCAACGAATAAGCTTCGTAAGTATAGTTGATACTGCGTAATCAGCAAGTATATACAAATGAGCTTCTAAATCAGGCAATATCACATCTAGTTGGCTTTGCAAATTAAAATTTAGGTTATTTACGTTTGATTTAAAAATATTAAATTTGTTTTTATTGGTGCTGGTGTCAGTTAACAATGGTTGGCGACTTTAAATCCGATTGTAATTAAGACACTTAAATATATCTTATTAAATAAGTAAATTATCGGATAGTTTTTTAGAATTTTAAACGTTGAAATCAACCGAAGCTATTAAGCTAAAATTACTAAACTTCTTTTTACATAGTTTATTTCATAATCGGGCGTCAAGGCAGAATACGAAATTCCACCCGTATCACCTCGACGTCTGTCGTTCCTTGAGCGTTTTTAAGGCAGTATTTGCTGCGCTCCACCACTATGTAGAACCAGCTTCCTAATGATGTCTTTCCGATCCATTTCGACTAAGGATCGAAAACAAAAGAACGTACCAATTCATAATACTTAGGTCTCTGGTATTGAGTGTCCATGGTATTACTTAACATCAGATGAATGAAAAATAAAATCGAAAAATCCTTTATTTTGTGGCGCTTCAAATCATGGGTTCACCGCAGATGTACAATAATATTTAATTCTTTAAAGCTTCTTCATGTTAATTCTTTATTAATAAAAAAAAATATCTAGCCAGGGTTTAAAAATGCAACCTTATTTCAGCTACAACAGCGAAGCGAACTAGATCTCAAAATGAACGTCGTCAGTCGACGTACGCGCGAACGACGCAAAGCAGAGACATACACCTCTCTATGTTGCCAGATCTATCTGGTAAGTTTTATTTTTAGTATCTAATTCTTGGATGACCGCGATAACTGTGGCGTTATAACACTCATATATAATTAAAAATATAGCTTATTACACACCAATACAGAAAAAAGAGTAAGTTAGGGACGTATTACGTAACGAATTTTGGGGGGTCCTTTTGTAAAACGTAACGATGCGGGGTGGTGATTTTTTTTTTTTTAAAGACAATTCACACCAATTGACCTTGTCCCATGCTAAGCTGGTGAAGCTTGTGTTATGGGTACTAGGCAACGGATATACATAAATATTATACATAGATAGACATATAAATACATATTTAAACACCCAAGACAACAAATGCTCATCAAATGCTCATCACATCGATGTTCGTCTCAGCCGGGGAACGAACCCGGGACCCATGGTTTCGCAGTCAGGGGTACTAACCACTAGACCAATGAGTCGTCAAATTGAATTACGCGTTATTGTTAATATTATTTTCGACTTTCAACCACATAATGCTATCTTCTAGTCACTAGGTAGTCACGAAACGTTTTACTATACTTGGTTACAGTACTGTCCGTGAGTACAGAAAAACGT